GTGAGGAGTCCAAAGTCTAGGGATAAGAGTGTATTATTTGCTCAAGGTCACCCAGCTAGTGTCAGACCCCAAAATAGAATCTTCTTTTCTTAACTCCCAGTTCTTAACATTACACCCAACAAATATCTGGACACAGAAATGGCCATTAACAGATACTTTCTTGAAGTGAAATGAATTCAATTTCTTCTTCTGTGACAGAATCACCTGGCCACTCTGTAGAATGTGGAAGGAAGGGGTCAACGTGCTGTTCTGAATGCTATCACTTAAAAGGCAGTATGGTGACTCTGGAGAAGGCTGCTTGAACTCTGATTTGGGCTCTGCCACTGCCCATCTATATGATCTTGGGAAAACTGCTTTACATTTCTTAGACTCAGCTTCCTCATTTATAAAATGAAGGTAAGCACAGAAACCATCTCAAAGAGTTGTTTGCTCCTTCAGTAACATTTGTTGAACACTTGCTCTTAAGCAGGTACTGTGTTAGATGCTAGGGATACAACAAAAGACAAGAAATAGAAGATCCAGGCAGCCCGGGTGGCTCACTGGTTTAGCGCCGCCTTTGGCCCAGGGCATGATCCTGGAGACCTGGGATCGAGTCCCACGTCAGGCTCCATGCATGGAGCCTGCTTCTCCCTCTGCCTGTGTCTCTGCCACTCTCTCTCTCTGTCTCTCATGAATAAATAAATAAAAATCTTAAAAAAAAAAGAAAAGAAATAGAAGATCCTACCTGGGGGAGCTAACATGCTACTAGGATTAAAGGATATATCCAAATAAAATGCCTGATACAGAGTCTGGCACCTAAGAAATGTTCAATAAATGCTACTTGTTATCATTAATATTAAAAATGTATTGCATATCCACACTTAAAAAGCAAATCAGCAAATAAATTTCACAAACTAAAAGCTCCAGGCAAGATTTTAGGGTATAAAACAGCTTACAGGGCAGTGTTTCACAAGGACAGATATTATCACCATGGCAATATTTTTCTGAGTTCCTTAAGAACACTTGCTTGATGCTGTAGAAGGTTCAAACATGGTCTGTGGAAACACCATGTAAAGAGAGTGGAGAAAATCCTTTCCAGTTTATTTTCAAAAAAGCTAACTTGCGGGCAGCCCAGGTGGCTCAGAGGTTTAGCACTGCCTTCAGCCCAGGGCATGATCCTGGAGACCCGGGATGGAGTCCCACGTGGGGCTCCCTGCATGGAGCCTGCTTCTCCCTCTGCCTGTCTCTCTGCCGTGCACGCGCTCTCTCTCATTAATAAATAAATCTTTTTTTTTTGAAAAAAGCAAAAAAAAATAAATTAATTAATTAAAGCTAACTTGCTCTATAGAATCGTTTGATAAAATTTAATGTACAAAATCTTAAATTAAGAAACATAAACTAAAGGATAATTACTTGTATTGCAATGGGAGTCATCTTTTCAATGGCCAGCTTTCCAAACGTTAAAAAATGATGCACTACTTAAAATTCCACGTGATTAACAAGCACATGAAGAGATACTCCTTAGACATCAGGGAAATGCAAATCAAAATGAGGTACCACTTCACACCTACTAGGGTGGCTAATAACTTTTTACATGGAAAATAACAAGGGTAGAGAAGAGATGGAGAAATTGGAACCCTCATACATTGCTGGTAGGCACATAAAATAGTTGATTGTCTATAGAAAATAATTTGGCAGTTCTTCAAATGTTGAACATAGAATTACCATATAAGGCTACAATTCCACTTCTAGATATATATGCAAAAGAACCGAAAACAGGTACTTCATCAAGTGAGGCATACATGTATGTTCATGGCAACACTATTCACAGTAACCAAAAGGCAGAAATAGCCATTAATGGATGAGTGATAGGGCAGCCCGGGTGGCTCAGCGGTTTAGCGCCGCCTTCAGCCCAAGGTGTGATACTGGAGACCCGGGATCAGGTCCCAGGTCAGGCTCCCTGCATGGAGCCTGCTTCTTCCTCTGCCTGTGTCTCTGCCCCTCTCTCTCTCTCTCTCTCTCTCTCTCTCTCTCTCTCTCTCTGGTCTCTCATGAATAAACAAATAAAATCTTTTAAAAAAAATAATGGATGAGTGATAAAAAAAAGATGTGGTATATATATACACTGTAATATTATTCTGCCATAAAAAGAATTGGATTCTGAAATGAATTGCTGACATATGCTACAACATGGATAGATCTCGAATATGTAAAAAAAAAAAAAAAAAAAAAAAAGATCTCCAATACGTTACACTAAGAAGCCAAATACAAAAGGTCACATACTATAAGACTACATTTATATCAACAATGTAAAATAGACAAATGTATAGACAAAGAAAGTAGATGGGTGGAGGGTGGAGGCTAGGGGCTACAGGGAGGGTGGAATAGGGTGAAACTACTTAATAGATAAAGAGTTTTACTTTGGAGTGATAGAAATGTTTTGGAACTAGATAGAGTTGTAGTTGTAGAACATTGTGAATGTACTAAATGCCACTGCATTGTTCACTTTAAAAGTTTTATAACTATGAGACGCCTGGGTGGCTCAGTGGTTGAGCATCTGCCTTCTGTTCAGCTCGTGATCCCAGAGTCCAGGAATCCAGTCCCTCATTGGGCTCCCTACAGGGAGTCTGCTTCTCCCTCTGCCTGTGTCTCCACCTCTCTCTTTGTCTCTCATGAATAAATAAATAAAATCTTTTAAAAAATAAAAGTTTTATAACCAACCTTCTAAAAAAATAAAAGATTAGTTTCAGGTTACATGAAATTAATCTAAGTTATTTTTTTGAAGATATTATCCACATGTTCTATAAATATATAAAAATATATTGGGGCACCTGGGTGGCTCAGTCAGTTAAGCATTTGACTCTTGATTTCAGCTCAGATCATGATCTCAGAGTCATGAGATTGAGACCCATGACCAGCTCCACACCCAGCATGGAGCTTGCTTGAGATTCTCTCTCCCCCTGTCCCTCTGCTCCTGCTTGCTTTCAACTTCTCTAAAAAATTAAAACAAAAGTTTAAAAAGTAGAAGAAAAATATTATAAGTGACTGTTTAACTGTCTCAGAAACCCGTATAAACAGGACCTCTATTCATAGTGAAGGAAGGAACAGTGTTCTTCCTCTTAAAGCATAACTTTCTAAGGTAAAACTATGTCATACAAATATAAAATGAACACATGTCAAAGGTTTTTACTTAATTTAAGACAGAAACAGTAAGACGTTAAAGACTGATTCAAGAGGTAAGAAGAAACACTGATTATATATTTGTTAGTAGATAGAAAACAAGCTTCCTGGGGTCGAGGCAGGGGAGGGGGGTGATTAACTGCATCTCCACAACACAAAATTTGATTGCTTTTCTACAGACAAGGATAGTCTGGCATTACTCTCAGTTTTCTACAACTTTACAGAGTTTTCAATATCTCAAAGATAATGAAAGATAAACCAGGTAACTTGAAGGATACATTCTAAAAGATACCAAGGGATTTTTTTTTCCTCCCAGATTTCACAATTTTTCCTAACATTTTTCTGGTATTCAAGGTAATTCACCACCTTAACAAATGGCTTATTTTTCTTGGGCTTTAGGCACTTGTGTGTTTAAAAAAATAAATAAATAAAATTTTAAAAATTAAATTTTATTTATTTTACTATTTTATTATTTTATTTTATTTTATTTTATTTTATTATTTTATTTTATTTTATTTTAAAGAAGGAACTGGCTTGGATGACCTAAAGCCTATCTTGATCTTTGGCAGCTTGGTAACAACCAACTTCTAAGGGCCAGGATGCTGAGTCAGAGATTCCTACAGGTAACAGAGCCCTTTAAGCCACCAGCACTCAGGATCACATCACATAAATTACTTTTCTTCTGATGGAACATACCATTCCATGATGAAGGAGACCATATTTCTAATTAACCACTCCAAGACAATTTGCCTTTTTTGCACAATTACTGGAAACAGGATTATACTGAATTCCCCCAGGTTCTGTCATGACTAATACGCATCGTTTAATTTTTAAACAACTGACTGAAACCAGAAAGAGAAGTGGTCTGGATCTATGGAACAAAACAAAATAGTTTACCTACATACAATTTCCAAAAAAAAAAAAAAAGTACTAGTTACGTTGAATGGCTTTTGACATCTTTCTATCACTGGGAGAGAGAAGAGACTATGATCACTTGTATTTAGTTTCTGCATTACAGCAACGCTGTATTACTTACTTAGGGATTACTTACTCGGGAAAACTAAGGATTACTAGGAATTACACTAAGGACACAGTTTACTGTAAATGCAGTATGACTCTGACATCTCTTCCTTCTGCTAGCTCTTCGACAGCATTCTTCAGCTGTCCAGGACTGGGCACAGAGTAGGTCCTCAATCAAAGCTTCCTGTTTAATCACATAATTAATTACAGAGAGTGGCAGTCTATACTTTTCACAGAAATACTCATGAGAACATATTTCTCTATTTGTTGGACTAAGTTATTATTATATTTAAGTGTATTGATCCATGCAGCACAAACAAAAGCACATCTACAGTGTGTAAAACAGACATTTTAAGCATCCAAAAAAAAATGTGCTGTTCCACATAATTTTCCACAAAGATCTACAATTCTGCACATATCTTCCACCAGAGCCAGTGCTAAGATTAATATGAGATTTCTGAAATCAGTAAAACTGTAATCTTGACCCAAACAACTGTGAGCTACCTCCTGTCTTCCGGATTGAAAGGGCAGATTGAATTTCCCTGAAATGCCAATACCAAAATTCTTTACATTCCAGCTAAAAATGCTTTGCTTACCATAAGACTTTGGCTTCTGCCCTGCCTTTTTCTCCTCATTTTCATTTAGATTCAATGTGTAATTATTAGTGGTTAACTCAGGGTCACATTTTGTCCTTCTGCTGAGAGGACGTGCACAAGAAGGCACACTCCCTGAGTGGGGTTAATTGAAAGCTGTGGCTGCACCAAATAAAGCAGAATAGGGAGACCCTTCCCCATCCCTTCCAGTTGATACCCTAGCCTTTCTGCAAACAGCTGTCATTTCAGTTTATGCCCCTCCTTGCCATAGGGCAGGATCTACCTCAAACAAACTCAGGCTTGAGGGGCGTTTTCTGTGAAGACATCAGGACCTGGCAGACAGACAACGTGGAAGCTGTGAGTACCTTTGACACCAAGGCTACTGGTTGGCTGGGTTTTCTTGTATCATAGTGATCCTACTGATGAGGAAAAAAAAATTCCTTGGGTACAGGACAGAGAGCACACTCCTGGTGCTCTTAATTTATAGGAAGTGAGCACAGTGGCTTCCCACCTCTACTCTCAGGACCAAATACACTCACTCATTCACATACTCACACACACATCAGTAAACAGTTACCTAATGTTTATTATTAAAGCACTAAACAAATGCAGGAGGAGATTCAAATATACACTGGAATTTACTATTTTCTGGGTCCAAATATCCGGAGCTGCTAATGTGAACGCACTCCCCAGCACTTCTCTCTTTGATCAGGTGTACCTTCTGAGTGCCAAGCTGGGTGCATGGGAGACTAGAGAAAGAGGAGATCTTTCATTTTCCTTCGTGCTATCTGGGACCTTAACTCTGCACAAGGGAAGCCGGGCAGAATTTGAAGAAAGATCTGCAGAAAGCACAGCTTGGTGATTTTAAGATTGGAAATGGTATGTTGTAGAAACTGTAGTTAAATAGAAACTAGTGAAAAAGCCAGAAGAAAGGAAATAAGCTTGGGGGGTGGGTAGTAACCAAAGGAGAAGAGTGAGGAACTGATCTCTACCAAGGATGGCGGTGGGATTTTGGTTCAGCTTTTAGAGCTTAGCTTAGAAGGTCCAGAGTCCATATCTAGCTATCTGTGAGCTAGACTAAATTATCCATGATATACATTATGCTAAATGCAATGGAACAGGTGGAGACAAAATAGCATTACTGAAGACCTCTCCTTCCATCTCACAGATAGTTAAAAACCTAAGTAAACCCAGGAAATTTGTTTTTGAGTACTAGAGCTGTGGCTGATTTTTTTCCTCTCACTTCTCTGCCATAGTTTCCAACTTTTCTATAGTGAGAATGTACTTTTATAGATATATTTAAATAAATTATTTTATAAAAATAGAACCAACCTCCAGACTTGAGAGAGAGGGCCTTGGGTCAGACTAGACATTGCTGAGTAGATCAAGAAATCCCAGAGCTCCCAGGGCTTAACACCAACTGCTGCCAATTTCTGGATCTGTTGGCTTTTCTGAGTCCAGCAGTTAACAAGGGAATAATCATGTCTGCCTTCCTTACAAGACTAGTTCTGAAGGTCACTAGATAAATGTATAAAAGTGTTTTGTATCAAGCACTTAATTAGTGTGAGATAGTATTTTTCCAAGTATTATTCCAACTTTCTAGAAAACTAAGAGGGTAGGGATATATATAAAGAAGGTAGAGATTTTAAATGGATTTCCCCTCCTTAATTTAAGTTCCAGTGAAATCCACAGATTAATTGTGACTGTCAAAGGCACTCTCTGCTCAGGGCAGATTCTGAAGCAAAAACAGAAACAGAAATTCAGCAGTAACAATCTTTACTGCACACCAGGTAACTTGTATCATTGTGAAATCTTCATGTCCTGGAACTGAGCTCCTGAGAGATCTTCCTACCCTTCCAGTTCTGGTAGAATCTGACCTCCTGGGGGGAACAGTGAAACCCTACTAATGCGGAAGAGACCTAGCAAAGATCTATTTGAGACTACAAGATATCAAGTGACTTCCCCTGAGATTGGCCCCAAGTTTGGTTTCAAGTTCTCTCTCACCTTGATGTGCTTAGCTACCACCTAGAGGAGCTAGAGGAACTAATTAACTGAGCCTGACAAGAACTAACAATAAGTCTATCAGGACAAGGCTACAAACTTTTGTCGACACTAGCTCATGGCCAAAACTGTTTCTCACTCTGGCTCTCATTTGCACGGTGCGTTAGGAAAACAGATGATGTCAACACCAGCTGAGAAGACAAGTTATCTCAATACTCAACCTCTGGCAGGAGAATTTGTGTCCTGATTTATTTTTAGTGCTTTTCTACCTTAGTAATCCGGTAAACTGAAGAAAAGCCAGCAACCTGACTGTTCTCTGAGCTCACAACCCTTATTTATCCCTTAGTAATCAGCAAGACATGTAGTCATCTGAGGGAGAATCTACTAGAGGTTTGGGGTCCCATCATTTGCAAACTTTCAGAGACCACACAAGATTATTATCCCAACCCAAGTGGAAGCATGTAGTAATCACTGGTAGCAATCTTTGACTCATGAGAAAAAGACAAAGAGAGGCTGCTAACAAAAATAGGTATCTACCATCTATCATTTTTATCAGCAGGGTGGAAGATAGGGTAAAAAGCAAGAATTCAGTTTTACCTCTCACAAAATGTTAGATCTTAAATTAAGGCACACATTATGCTTATCTTGAGCTTCAAATAGGACTGTTGCTAGGAATTCACAATGAATAAAAAGTATCTTTTCACCCAGATGCAGAAAGTGAAATATCAAAATATTCATCAGTCATTTCCACATTTTTGCATTTGGATTTAACCCCAAATATTTAAATTTATTTCAATCTTATACAGCTTGTGAGGACAGATTTATCCAACACCAGCTGTCCTCATATTTAAAAGCTGTACCACAAAGATAAAATTAGAATCAAGCTAGGATCATATTGCTCTGCAAGAATTCTGGTCTATGTCCCACTGATGCCCTGAGCCACAAATGACAAACCAAATAACAGCATTATGGTTGTTTTTCTTGAACAATTCCTAAGCAGCCATAGTGTGGTAGAAACTGCATATATTACAAAAAAAAAAAAAAAGGATGTGCCCTAAACATATAGAATTATACCTATGAGTACAAACTTATTTCCTTTTTTTTATTTTTTAAATTTGTTTATTTTTTATTATTATTTTTTTACACTAAGTGTTTTTTTTTTTATAAATTAATTTTTATTGGTGTTCATACAAACTTATTTCCAAGATGACTTCTCACTCAAATGGGAGGAAAGTATGTACTGTTTCAACAGAGCAGGGAATAAGGGAAGTCAACGATCACAACTACCACCACCATTTTATTCTGGAGCTTTCCATTATAGGAATTTTCCAAATATGCATGAAACTCAAATTAGACTGAAGTCTGGATAAGGTACAACTGTTCATTAAATCAAACAGTAAAGACCAGATGTCATCATCTCAGTGTTAGACGTTTGGTATGACAATGTATTCTGTAAAAAAGTAATAAAAAGGAAAAAATAATCTCAAGATTCTAAAAAAGATTATTTGTTTAAAATTCACCTTGACTAAAATCTAATTGTAAAAGCATAGCAATGTAAAAAAATACATTGCTAATGTTCTCCGTTCAGTTTAGAAGATCATTATTTCTCAACAGACGTTTTACAAGAGAAAAAAGCAAAAGCGATTGATAAACACACAAAACATGTACAACCTCATTTATGATTAAAGAAATACAAGTCTATGAAATAATGAGATAACCACATTAAGAGGATTAAAATGAAGTTCTTTTCTTTTTTTAACAGGATTGTTTTTTAAGATTTTATTCATTTGACACAGAGCACAAGCAAGGAAAGCAGCAGGCAGAGGGAAGAGGAGAAGCAGGGAGCTTTGATGCAGGGAGCCCAATGCAGGGCCTGATGCAGGGCTTAATCCCAGGACCCTGGGATCATGACCCAAGCCAAAGGCAGCCACTTAACTTCCAGGTGCCCCAGGAAGTTATTTTCAAATAACTATTGAGAATGCACTATTTCACAAAGGGGCAAATAGGCCATAACTATTAACATGTAAAATGTGCCTTATTTCCCCCTTATAATTCCACTGCTAGAGTTATACTTACAAGAAGGTACAAAGGTGTATTTATAAAGATGCTCACTTAAGTATTGTTTTTAATAATTCCCATATTCTTCTACAGTAAATAAAGAAAAGTATTACAAATTACATAAAAAATTCTTTTTTTTTAAATTTTTTTTATTATTATTTATGATAGTCACAGAGAGAGAGGCAGAGACACAGGCAGAGGGAGAAGCAGGCTCCATGCATCGGGAGCCCGACGTGGGATTCGATCCCGGGTCGCCAGGATCGCACCCTGGGCCAAAGGCAGGCGCCAAACCGCTGTGCCACCCAGGGATCCCCTACAAATTACATAAAAAATTCTATGCAGAAACTTAGAAGAATAAATTAGATTTATATTAACTAGAAAAGCAAGGTATAATATATATAGGATGGTTGTATTTATGAAATAATAAAATTATATACAGAACTGTACATGTATAAAATTATACATCTGGAAGGATATTAAGAAACTGTTAATAGAAATTGGGAGCCTGGAAAGGACCAACTTGTATTTTATACCTTCTGAATGCTCTGAATTGTTGGAATTTTTGCCTTAAACATATGCTACTATTGTTTTTTAGAATCTTCTAGCAAAAGAAAAAAATCCCTTGGCATTCATAGGTTCATTTCAATTTTCTGGAAAATTATTTGCATGGAACATCCCAAGTCCCCTAAAGGTACTTTATAAATCAAAAGAATTAAATTATACCCAGAGTAGTTTGTAACATTGACTATATTCCACTGTATTCTGACTCTCTAAAAACTGGTAATTCCTGAAGTTTGGTAGAATTGGCCAGAATTCCATTCATTTACTATGACAGATAACAAAAAGGAAACTATTGCATATCTCTCTTTAATTTTGAAAATAGATTTGACCTGGGGTGCCTGGGTGGCTCAGCAGTTGAGTGAGCCTTTGGCTCAGGTCCTGGGATTGAGTCCTGCACATCGGGCTCCCTGCAAGGAGCCTGCTTCTCCCTCTGCCTCCCTCTCTGTGTCTCTCATGAGTAAATAAATAAAATCTTCAAAAAAAAAAAAGTAAGTAGATTTGACCTTCCAGGATACATTTCTTCATACCTTGGTATCATTTCAATGATTTAAAAAGACTTAATGCTATATGATCTAATGCGGGAAGAATATTAAGTATGACAATACTCTGAGAACATTAAATTCCTCCAAGACATTCATAAAAAAGACCTCTGTAGCAACCATCAGTTGTTCTCTGTATTTACAGGTCTGATTGTGCTTTTTGTTTCTTTTTCTTTAGCTCTATTCGTGAGTGGAATC